CTTCCTTCCTTCCTTCCTTCCTTCCTTCCTTCCTTCCTTCTGTGTGTGTGCACGCACCTGTGTCAACCTTAAAAGATATCTTAGTATCTAAGAAGGTGCTTTCTGCTTTCATCCAAAATGTAGAGACAGTACACAAGTGTGTCCAAACCTTTCTAATCTGTTTTAGAACAAAAAGTCACATTACAGATCAGGAAATTTGCACTGTCATTCAGTGACAGTGTAATGATCAACGGTCACATACTGTCTTAATGTTTGAATTTCACGTTTAACACTTCTGGATTATTGCACTGACACAATTCCCCCAGTCCTCAGAGTTAAGAACATAGCCTGCATCTGATTCACTTGATGAATATATGAACAAAGCTTTTCATATGCTGATTTTCTCTATGGCTTTTGAAAAGCTATAGTAGGATACTAGGAAGATTGTGCTGGTTGGTGGCATTTGGAGGGACCTTTCCTTTTTGAACTCTTTTATGATTTCCAAATTTTTGCAAAATGACATGTAATTTTTAAAATAATAACATATGCAACCTGGCTGACTTGTTTAGGGAAAAAAAAGAGACATTAACTAGTCTGCATTCCTTCTAGAAATGACACAGGGAATAAGTACATGAAGTCCGCATTTTTTATTGCCTTAAAAAGAGGAAACTTTATTTTTATTCAATTCTTGCCTCAAGTACAGCCAGTAGATTCTTAGGCAGTTATCAGTGTTAAGTCTCATGATGGTGATGTATCAGAAAGACCATCTCTCTTTTATTTTGGGGGTGATTACACATCATCTGATCATTAAGTTCATCCTAGATAACAAGACCAGAAAGTCCCTTAGGTGAAAAATTATGGCCCAAAATGCTGCCCATGCACTTTCTGATTGCCACACTAGCTGGAGGCAAGGAGATCCGGGATTCAATTCTGGTAAGAGATAAACGGGGATTTAGATATCTTACCCTACTTTCCCTTCTGTGTGTGTGTCTGTGTGTGTGTGTGTTTAATTTATTTAGGTTTTATTTTGAATAACATTTTATCCTGAAGTCACATGATAACATGCAGCTCTCAAGACTCTCAGTTCCCCTTACTGCAAAACCACGCTTGCATGTTCAGAAACCGCCTTTAACGAGAAGAAGATGCTATAAGAAGGTAGAGTCCAGGTTGGGTTTCTGCAGGGTATTGGTATGTTGCTCAGAGGAATCTCTTTTAGAGTTGCAGGGTGAAATTCTGGATATGCTGGCTGAGGATTGTTAGAACCGCGGTTGTTTATTTCATCATCAATAGCAGCTGTAAACTCCCTGCAACTCCAGCACCTACCTCATTTCCCAGGGCATCTCACAGTCCCAGGAAGAGAGAGGGTGTCTGAGGCTGAGCCCCAACTCCAGGAAGCTTACGGTCTTGTCAAAGCCACACTCACAGGAAAACAACTGAGGAGCTCTCACACACCAGATCACACGAGCCCCACCTACAAGACTGCACGGAGAGGCCCCTTCGTCTGGGCCAGGCCTCTGTCCACAAAAACCAGGCCCTTAGCTATCAGGGGAGCCTCGCGTTCACAATCTAGCACATTCTGCTTGGTTTCTGAGTTGAGCCCCCCAGGTGAATTCATAGTTTTGCCATCAACTCTTCTTGTTCCCAGGATGTCCTTTCTGCTGTAGAAACCGCTGCTTTCGGGGCGCCTGGGTGGCGCAGTCGGTTGAGCGTCCGACTTCAGCCAGGTCACGATCTCAC